TTGAGAAGTTTGAAAGTTTGGTGTAAGTTGAATTAGTATTTGTGTGGGGTGTGTCCATTTTGTGTGTCGATGTGATGTATGAGTTTGTTGGTGGAGGAGTTTGATTACAGATTGAATTGAAGGCTATGGCTTGAATATGATTTCTGTATTTTTTTTTTAGCTGGTGAAAAGGTTTTCCCTCACATTACTCATTGTTTTCATCATTGTTATTGTTACTGGGATTATTTTTTCACGTGACAATATGCATCTTTTTCCACCAGCCATTTTTATCTCCAAGGAGATTATGTTTGTTCAATACCATAAGTGGAGCTGCTCTATCAAGGAGGGAGCTCAACTTCTGGACATCCATTCTGGCACTTCGTGTAAATAGGAAAAGGTAGATGGTATAAGTTTCTGTGAATGAAAGTTGTTTTAATGGATTAAATAAGGAAAAAGTTTCCACCAACAAATTCCAGTCAATAAAAGGATTCTCTTTTCTTCCCCAAATCTCCAGATTTTTTACAATAATAATCATTTGGTTAGCTAAAATAAAACAATACCAATTTATGTATTTATGATGAATATTCAATCCGACAGCGCTGATTTCATGTTGATAATTCTGGATTATTTAGCCTTCTGATCAAATTTATTTTAGCTGGCTCCCTCCTTATGGTGATATGGTTGCACATTTTCCAGTTTGACTATTTTAAATCAATTGAATGCAGGCATATGAGTTCTGAGTTCTCAGTAACTTGTTTTTTTGTTTTTTCATATTATTCTTTAAGTACTGCTTTCAGAATGTTATAGTCTCGGGTCTAATAATATAACACTTAAATACAGGGGAACCTTTACGGTGTGTGAAATTGTTCAATCCACTGTCGTTCTTTGTGCTTTTGCCCGAGAAATTCATAGTTTAATTTATTTGCTTTTATGTAACTCATAACACTTGTTTATTTACGTTCAGTTCTCAAAATGAAGAAAGCATGTGCCATTTATTTTAATCTATCCATTCTACTCCGTTTGACTGCAAGTACTTTGGAAAATTCTCATGACAATGTCTGGTATATGTTCCTTATACAAATGAGTACCATGGAAGGATTAAATCTAAAACTTTTTTCTATATAATTTTGCTGTTGTGAAAGTTCAATCAAAATTCTTTTACTTGGGTCAGGGTGATTGGAGAACATTGTATAACAGCAAGGATATTTGAGTATAGGTCAGAAGTTCCAATTCTCTATTTTAGCTATTTGTTTTGTTATAAAATTATCTTTCATCTGAACTTGTACCCGGATGTATTGTTTATATTGCTTAAAGCTGGAGCATTTATTGTCAAAGATTAATGTGTCAAAGTGCTTGTGATTATGCCGTTTTCCATGAGAGACAACAATATCCCTTTTTTAGTCTGTTTGAAATTTCTTAAGTTGAAGAGAATCTAGGCATACACATGGCGTAAGTTGATATCTTTTCCTCTTCTGTGGTTGTGGGTAAGAGGTATACATGCATGTATGTTTAGCCAGTTTGTTGAGATTCAGTTAAATCCCCTCTTATTTAAATATCTATCATTACATATTAAGGTTGGTAGCTTAAGATATTCATAGTTTAATTTAGATTTGCCCATGTGTGTTAATTTCTGTAATAATTTTCTTACTCAAGACTATGTATGAATATGTATATTCATATTTAAATAAGACAACAATAGTGGAAAGCGATGGTCGATTTTGTATGAAAAATCCACGAAATCTCTCATCAGATCGGGAATACATATGGAATCGACGGCAAGTTCGTGGTTGTTGACCGACCAGAGAAGGTAGGATTAAACTTGATGATAAGTTTAAGGAAGATCCTAAATTGTACTCCTTGTGGGATGATTGCAGCTCTGGGGAAAGACGGGTTGGCACATATTGCTGCACCAAATCCTAAATTTCCATGTGACTTGCTTATGTAATGACAGTATATTCTTATGTAATTTTACATGTGCTTATCTGTTGCTAATAATATTTTCATTTCATTTAATTTTGAGGATTGTCTTTTTTTTTTTATGTAAATTAATCTCAGGCCATGAGGAATCTTACAACCCTTCTCCAGAATACATCCCAACAGCAGAAGAAATAAACTCTTACAAGTTCATGTTTGAGGAAGACCGACCTAAGTTTATTCAGAAACAGTACCCACATGTCCTATTTTATCCTTTTATATTTATGATCTTTTTTTTTTTTTTGGGAATTTGATCCACCTTAGAAGCCTGATTTTGTGATCTGTAATGATTTTAAATTTTGAGGAGCTCAAAGTTGACCCATCTGTTCCAAGATTCTTTAGGTGAAAGTTTATTTTGTTAACAACCAATGTTAAAATTGGAGATGAATTCGACTAATCATTGAAAGTGATGATAATTTTTTACTATATTTTTAGACTAAATTTGAGTCCGCCGTGCGAGCACCGCGTGAGATAACTAGTAGAGTTTACAAAACCAACGTCGTTTTAATGAAGGCGACGTGGCTTCATAAGAGGAGCGGGACACGTGTCAGAAAATGAAGGCAATGCTTCCTTTTTATAAATAAGAAAATTACTAGTACAACACTCATGTATTATATGGGTGGCGACGGTGCCTCGTTCATGGACGGATTCATAAAAGTGGGATGGGTATCCGGACAAATCAAATCCAAGACCGTTCCGGCTGGCGCCCACCCTTACCATAAATAATCAACATATTATAGATAATCTGAACCTAAATATATTTGAATTAGAAGTAAACTAAATCTACCCAAGCCTAATAACGAAGCATATATTTTTGCCACATAGGATCTCGAAGCATGCGAGTCTGCCACATAGGCTCAGCACATTCTCAATTAATATATAGGGAGGGAAAATTACTAGTACAACACCCATGTATTACATGGGTGGCGACGGTGCCTCGTTCATGGACGGATTCATAAAAGTGGGATGGGTATCCGGACAAATCAAATCCAAGACCGTCTCGGCCGACGCCCACCCTTACCATAAATAATCAACATATTATAGATAATCCGAACCTAAATATATTTGAATTAGAAGTAAACTAAATCTACCCAAGCCTAATAACGAAGCATATATTTTTGCCACATAGGATCCCGAAGCATGCGAGTCTGCCACATAGGCTCAGCACGTTCTCAATTAATATATAGGGAGGGATTACAAAAACAACGTCGTTTTAATGAAAGCAACGTGGCTTCATAAGAGGAGGCGGTACACGTTTCAGAAAATGAAGGCAATGCTTCCTTTTTATAAATAAGAGAATAGAAGATAAGAAGGTAGAAGTTAGTGAAAAGAGTGATGTAGTAAGAGGGTATAAGAGAGAAGAAATTAAGAATAATACATGTTAATACATATTTTTCCCGGGTTTTCTTAAAAGTAATTAACAATGTCAGTAAATTCGACCCGAAAATTGGCACGGACAAGTATTTGGGTCAATGGTTTAACTGTCAGGTGGGTCAAATGTTGAGCCAAATAATTAATTTTTAAATTTTTAAATTTATATATATGGTATTTTTATCATATAAATATACATAAAAGTAACATAAATAATATTTTATATATAAATTTATATATATTTAAGTGTTATTAATATTGTATCTCATAATTATATTTACCATTTAAATATATATACATTGTTTTTATTTTTAACAATAAGAAAAAAATACTTTAAAAAAATATAGTGAAACACTAATATAATCAATCAATCCTCATATCTTGTTGAGTTTTGCAAGTAGAAAAACAGTTGCAGATGTAATAACAGGGATAAAAACATCATTTGGGATTAATTTTGGCGCCAAACATTGCTTGAAGAACAAGGCAGTGGCTGGCACTCCAAACAGATAGAATAACAAGTCTTTTGCACCGGTGTTTGTAACTCCTGTGTCAAGAATCACTTCTTTAAGGATCTTTTCAAACTCTTCTTTTCTCAATGTTTTTCCTTTGCCCTGGTGATGATTCTGATAAAAAAAGGTAACTATTTTTGAATTTATTTCTTTAATACATTAAGATTATAAAAAAAGGCAATTAAGTAATTTTTTATTGTTTTCTTCAACAGAATTATTGAATTTTGACTAGGAAGTGAATGTTTTTACTTGGTATGCATGTTGGAGTGTGCTGTTCTGTGGCACCCTAAGTTGAGTGCTCCCTATAGTTTTGTTGATTTCCCTATGAAGAATCAACAAAATTATAGAAAATCCCATAAGTAATTAATTAATGCAAATAATAATATAGTATTCATAAAGTTTAAAATACTCTATTGTTAGGCAAATTGCATGGTGGAAAAAAATGGAAGGGACAAAATTGGCCAAAGGGGAGCGATAAGTAGTAATAGGGGGGCGGTGAATAACAACCCCTAAAGATTAATAACAAATTCAAACACGTGCAATTAATTACCTCAGGCATGTTTGATGAGAAGGGTGTACGAAATAAAACAAGAAGAGAATAATAATCTCACAATTTATATATTATTGAACAGATCGGCTATGAGGAGAAACAAATTAATAGAATCCACTTGTCCCTAATTATCTACCTTGCCTACCAAGAAAATACTATAGGTAAAATAANAATAATAATAATAATAATAATAATAATAATAATAATAATAATAATAATAATAATAATAATAATAATAATGATGGTGTAAATAAATAATACTAGATATGAGCATTGACTGATTTTATTAGAGTTTCACCGATTATTATTGTTATACACCATGATCTATTTGGTGCACGGGTGGCTATTATTTGTGCAGTTTATTGTTGAGTTATGAATTACGATCATTTCTATTTCATTGGACCAATTGTCATATACAAGTTAGCCAATCTAACACATCATAGTTTACAATGAATGCTTATATATAAAATATTGACTTTAATCTATATTACATTTTATATACATTTCATTATGGGCATAGGTAAATGTATTGTAAAATATGCCTGCCTAATGACATATATTTTGAAATATACATTTCATTATTGAAATAGGTACATCTATTGTCAAATTTGGCTGCCCAGTGTGTTGTAAAATCGAATTAATACATACCCTCATGACTTTTTATCCACATGGGTGTAAAATTCTATAGTGAAAAATCTCACTGTGACAGGCAATTGAATCGACATAAGATATGTGATTCAATAGTGAAGAAAGTCAAAAACTAATGCAGATATTGCCAGCAGGACAAATCGAAATCTTAGATAAGCAAAACATACGTTCCAACGACAAATATAGCAAAAACCACGATATACCTTATATGAGAATCCACAAGTCGCATAATTAATAAAAGAGTACGGTAAACATCAACCACGAAAAGCTGAAAATACCATTGATGCGTCTCTATAATCGCATAACCGTAAAATATAAACGATAGATGGGAAACCAAAAGGCTTTTTCAACTTCCCACTTCAGAACTTGCAGAGACATACCCACAACTGCAAATAATTATTACATCATTTAAAATCTTTTTCGCCTTCTGAAACTTTAACCATCATGGAGTTTTACGGCAGACATTACTACTTAAGGGGTTTCAGACGAAAAACACCGAACACCAAATACGTTTTAAGTCTTTTATTTCCCACCATTGATAACCACAGTCCACTGAGCCTCAAAGACTATTCCCAACCGATCAAAACCGGAGAACATAACCAAGCTTTGTAGAATCTCTTCATGTACGTACTTTCACCTATTGGAATCAATAACCGCTCCATTCAACCAATCTGGTAAACTCGGCACATGCTGCATGGACAAAT